AACCCTGTAGCTGATACAAGCAGATTCCTCACCAAACCCTGTAGCTGATACAAGCAGATTCCTCACCAAACCCTGTAGCTGATACAAGCAGATTCCTCACCAAACCCTTAGCTGATACAAGCAGATTCCTCACCAAACCCTGTAGCTGATACAAGCAGATTCCTCACCAAACCCTGTAGCTGATACAAGCAGATTCCTCACCAATCCCTTACTACTAGGAGCCTATCCATCCATACATACATAAAATGAGATGTAGTATACACAAGAAAATTAAAATATGAGCATACTCACAGACTAGCTTGAAAATATGTTGCTCAATGTCAGCTTCATAGCCATCAGAGTTTTCCAATTCACTGTTGGTAGTATCATCCAAGGAAGACAACATATCAAGCCCTTCATGTTCCACAACGTGTACAGGTGAGGTTTCCTGCACAACACAGGTTTTTAAAGTAATGGATTTACTACAAGCCAAAAGCACAGGAAACATCTTAAGACACAATAGCAAAACTATGACAATTCTTTTACATTACAACACAGTTCATTATCAGAAGTGTAGTGTGATGGGAATGCATCGGCATGGTATACCTGTACTTTTTTTTTGGCCAGAACACCATACCTCCACTATTCCAAACGAATCCCACCTTATATGGTTATGCAGTAGATTTCATGTTCCAGCACTTCTTTATTTAACACTACACACCACTGGTCATTATTCCTTTTATAATCAACTTCACTTCAGAAAGCTGATCTTTAATGTGGTTATGCAGTAGATTTCATGTTCCAGCACTTCTTTATTTAACACTACACACCACTGGTCATTATTCCTTTTATAATCAACTTCACTTCAGAAAGCTGATATTTAATGCATAGTTATCTAAAAGCCAAATTAATAACTGATTAATGAAAGTATAAATATTGGAGTCTTTACAAATTTCTCTAAAAAGTATAAAAGCATTTAACCTACCATGCATATACCAGTACAAAAATCATACCTATTACAAGAAAATTATTAAGTTGTAGTTAATTATTAAGTTTATAAAGGAGTCATTAATTAGTGACTAAATTATAATACGTCTCATTATGGTTATAAAGATAAAATAATTTTTAGTTTCAAATGAACACTTTCTTATGCTAGTAATTAATTGTCTTTAAGGTTATGGAAAATCAAAGAAGAACTCAATACATTGAAAACTGAAAAATGTAATATAATAATGCAGTATTATATAAATTAATCAAAATTATAAATTGTTCCAAAGCAATAAAAATACTCACTGAAATACCTTCTGTTTAAGTTGCTCTAAATACTTAATTGAAACTTCTGTTACACAAAATATTTTAGCCTATAAATCATATACATATCATTTCCTGTAAAGTAAAACGAAACTTTTGGTCTTACACAAAATTTCTGTACTTTCATTTCATTGTGGAAAATACATTAAAAACTTACACCTTTGGTCGTCATTCTCTCAGTCTTATACAAGACATCCGTACTTTGCGTGGAACAATGTATAAGAGTTTCATACAACATCCTCAGATCCTTAGCATCATTACCAGAGAATTTTAACAAATAGTGCTTCACGGAATCCAACAGAGCTTCTTGGGAAAGAATCTACAACAGTTTGTAAATTGATAACATTTACTACACAAATATACATAGTTAAAACCTCTGTTTACCAATGTTCTCAACAAAGTGAAGTCAAACTTTTTGCTGATATTTAATAAGTCTTCTTTTAAAGATAAATAATGCTTCTCATCACATACTAATACAGCTTAATATATCACAACAAGTCAAAAAAATTCTTTCATCTAACGAATGTTTAAGAAAAAACAAGGCTAAGAATAAAAGCTTTCCACAAACAAAAGTAAACCAATAAGAAGCTGTCAAAATTTATCTGCTATATATACAAAAGGTAGTCAATAGGAAACTTTATATCAGAAAACTCACTAAAATTACGCCAGGTTTGGCAAGTCAGTCAACTGAAAATGTCAAAATGACCATTCAACTGAGCAGTTATTTTTTAAATATTCATAAACTTGTCAAACATAAAACCTGTATATCAGAAATATCCACACATTAGTTGATGTATTTGAAAACATTTTAGGCTCTAAAGCCTCTCCTTTGCTTATAGACAAATGACCTAGTGTTCAATCCAAACAATAAAAAGTTGTATTTAATGTATTATAGTCTAATAGTTCTTACCTTTTTTACATACAAGTTAACATAAGTTTAATCAATAACATATTCTCACCTGCCGAAACTTATGGGTGAGTGATGTTATATCATATTACACTATCCTTCAATTTCATGCAGCCAACCAACAGCTGCAAGGATGGAATAAATCCTTCCATAATGGTAGACAACAATCAATTTTTATAATTCCAAACCTAATCTGCCATTTGTAATACTTAACAACCTATCCAAATAAAATAACAGAATCTTTTGTTTGGGAAATACAGTGTGGTTGGGCAATAACAAATTGTAAAAACTGATAAAACCAGCCACATATAGATTCTATAAACAATTTATTATATTACAAAACAACAATACTCACTCAGGTAGCATTTAGACATAGCTTAAAAATATAATAAAGAAAACTCGCATGGTTACTACATAAATAGTTTGAGAACTTTACTGGACTGGTGAAACAAATGGAAGTGGCATGTCGGCTTCAATACTGAGACTTTCTTCAGGTCATTGTAAAAACTTGTGAATCATCTTAAATTAGAATGACCAAGCTGTATGGGTTGAGGGTAGGACAATGATGTCATCATATTATCTTTAGAGTATGTTGAGGGTAGTTGTCCACAGTTCAGTGATGTGCAAACTGTCGTGTCTGTTAAGCTCAAGTTGTGCAGTTTGATGTTGATAGCTTCCTTGACTTTTCTTTCTTTCCAGTGGCAAGCTTAGTCTAAAATTTTATATTTATCCCAGTTTATGTTCTATTTTGTAGTTGTGTTCAGCCACACTTATCTTTATAAAACACTACACAAGTACCTACAGTGACCTAAAGGCCTCAATAAAAATGCTCAAACTTCTTTCAAAAGCAGTTGCAGTCCATTAGTTATCAAACTTACTATGTCTAGTCTGCCTAAAGTTCCACTGAGACAACACTCCAACAACAAGCTGAGGAACAAAGATCACATATGGAAAACGTAGCAATCCAAGCCAATACAACACATTAAACACTTCTACTACAAGCTGTGAAGAACAGAGATCACGTATGAAAAACTTAGCAATCCAAGCCACTACAACACACTAACAGAAAACATAATTTGTTGATCACGTATGGAAAGCATAGCAATCCAATCCACTACAACACACTAACAAAACAAACACAATTTGTTGATCACGTATGGAAAACTTAGCAATCTAAGCCACTACAACACACTAAACACTCCTACTACAAGCTGTGAGGAACAGAGATCACGTATGGAAAACTTAGCAATCCAAGCCACTACAGCACACTAAACACTCCTACTACAAGCTGTGAGGAACAGAGATCACGTATGGAAAACTTAGCAATCCAATCCACTACAACACACTAAACACTCCTACTACAAGCTGTGAGGAACAGAGATCACATATGGAAAAAGATATGTTTCATTTAGATTGACAAGATATATTAGTTACTAAGGCTGTAAGGTAGATATGTTTCATTTAGATTGACAAGATATACAAGATACTAAGGCTGTAAGGTAGATATGTTTCATTTAGATTGACAAGATATATTAGTTACTAAGGCTGTAAGGTAGATATGTTTCATTTAGATTGACAAGATATACAAGATACTAAGGCTGTAAGGTAGATATGTTTCATTTAGATTGACAAGATATACAAGATACTAAGGCTGTAAGGTAG